TTCCTGCATATAGCCTGGAACGCGCTGACTGCCTCCTTGTACTTTACATTAGCGTCAAGCACCTTGTGTTTCGCCTCCCCTGGTTTAAACTCATTAAGCACAAAAGGCCGCGGAGTCATCGGTTGTTCAGCAGGATGTAACCATCTAAATGAATGACATGTCAGACCCTCAGTACAACATTAATATTGGATATTACATGGACAACTCACGGCTTATACGTGGATAAATTGTGAGTTAACCCACCTTTCATCGATGCAACTCAGCGGTATTACGCTTCCTGGGGCGTTACTCCACTTCCGAAACGCGATCGCGTGTTGACAAGGCAGACGCATTGCAGAAGCAAACGAGCAAGTGCAGCTCCACGTTTTCAAATCCACAGCTTGCGTCTTGTGTTTACCCGTCACCTCCACGAAGCCTGGATTTGACTTTAAGTCGAAATTGAACTTGTCGACCTTCGAACATGCCATTACGTACTCCTTCTCCACGTGTGTTGCTACGAAATGCGTCGTAAAGCGCAAAACTTGGCACATCTCCTCGTCGTAGTTGCGGTTGACACGTAACCCGATCCTAGTCTTGTCGAACACGTATTCACTGGAAGTCCTGGCATCAGCACCCACAAGGGCCTTCACGGTGTCCGTCATGGTCATGTTGGAGTTTACCCCGTCCTTAAAATGCCCAAACCAATTCTCTAATGATTGTTCGTGTGGACGCGCAAATGTGCCAACCGTGAGCGTTGGTACATGACCCACATCTCCGTACAAGTGTTCCAGTTTTCATCCATGTAGTTGTAAAATGCCATATATCCAGTCCTAGTGCAAAGTGCCTTCATGGAGGTCCAATTGGTCTCGTAGATCTCTGAACTTAAGGCATATACCATGTTGTGGACTAATGCGTCGATGGCGTCGTGATCGTCCGACGAAAGTTTACCATATTCTGGCTTCCTGGACGCTGTGCGGAGATATTTGATGACGTGAAAGACGCAAATCAACACGCGCGACTTAGGGAAGTACCGACGCAACACGCGGATCTCATTCAGATCTTTGTCGACCATTATAACTTGAACCTTGTCGCCAATCTTATCGTCAATCCGAAATAGATGATCCAGCGCTCGGGACATCTGCCAATCGGCGTTTCGTTCGAGCAAAGACTGTTGTACAGGCTGCCCACGCCCATTGTCGTCTATCATCATGAAGGTACAAAGCTGGTAGTTGTATCTAATGCACATTACATGGACAAGAATCGCACAATACATGGGCATGACATTAAAATAAGCATGGACAATACATGGACAAATAATTGCACAATACATGGGAGGACTTACCGATTCGTTTTGTGGGTACAGTCCACAAGCAAAAGCTCTGGGAACCTAGTAACCATGTCGCGCATATGTCTGGAAGTCATGCTGATCACACCAGAGTGTCCCGCATCAGTTTCGTCCACCGTGACTACGTTACCGTCAATAGCTGCGAATTCCGCGAGAGTTGCGGCGCAAGCGTCGTCGTCATTCAACCCTCCTCTTATCTCTGCTTTAACACGTTGCACAATGTTGTCCACATCCTTCTTGACGAGGTTCTCGCCTCTCCCCAGAAGATACTCATAGATAGCGTGCGCGCTTTCTACCGTACATCACCATGCTGTCCACAGCATCCTTCGTGTCCGTGTCGTCCAACCTACGGTTCTCCGCGTACGTCTTGAACTGCGCTGTCCCCACCGCATGGTTGTGCTGGTACACACCGTTCTTCACGCGAAGGCAGCATAAGCCGTCAACTTGCACGAGCTGCACCACAAATCGAAATGGACAACCGCTTCCTCGGACGAAGTGCTTGGTTCGCAATCCGCTGCTCCTGTCTTTTGCTGGCCAGCCATGTGTGCAGATGTATGTGCGTTGGTAAGCACTCCACGTCTCTGGTACGTACGGAACATCCATTCCCTGCTTTGCTGCCGCTGTTTGACCCAGCCGTTTGTTTCTCAATACGCAACTAAGCGTTGACTGGATGCGGATGACCTGGCGGGACTTTACCGAGTAAGCCTTCAAATACTCATTCCACGCCGACCAGCTCGGATACGTCACGTCTGCGGGGCCCTCCACAAGGGAGGGAGAGTCTACGACCTGGACAATACATGGACGCTTGAAATCGTCCCTGTCAGGCGAGGCGTCGTCCGAGTTTGCAGCCGCGCCGAAGGCTGCGGAAGCCGTGGTGTCGATATCTGAAGAGGAGTCGGACGATCCACCCTGTATTTACAAATAGATAACGCACGGTTAGAAACACGTTCACAGAGACCACAAACAGCAAGATAACGCACCTCAGACGTCGCGGAAGCGGGTAGACTGAGCGACATGGCCGGCGATTGCAGCAACGGTTGATCTCGTGACGTAGGCTGCGGCGTGCAGGTAACGGAGCGGCGGCGGCGGCAATGCTCGAAGGGGGGCGAGTTTGGGTTTGAAAAGCTGGTGTGATTGGTACAACTACCGGTATACAGTATTGTACTGGTATTAACTACATAGGTCACATCGTGGACAATACACGGATGAGAGTTGGACAATAATTGCACTCAACGACTGGGTTGTTTTTATAAATTACCGAATGAAAATATTTTACATCATGGACATTACATGGAGTATTACATGGAAAATAAGCGGATTTGACGCATGGACTGTAGCATTTCCGTTTTCGAATTGATACGAAAATTATAATGGACGTGTCAAATGATCGGCAAATTTACCCAGAATTAGCGATAATAGTTCTGAGATAACGCAAAAAATGCTTGCAAATGCACCTCATGCTCCAGTTGTTCCGGCCTGAAGGAGCCTACCATCGTACAAACGTCTCAGGGTCTGGGCGTCCTGAGTTAACTCTCGCGACGAAGTCGACTATATAGAACACGCGTTTCTGTCTTTCAGGAGAATTTAATTACTTGCGCCTCTCTTTCGAGCGCGGCGCAGTTTTTTAACTGGAATCTTCTTTTGCGTCTGGGAATGCCCCACGCGATATATAAGCCACATTGCTCTGCGAATCTCACTGAGATGAGATCCTGACTTTGTGTACATTGAGATCTGCAGTTTTTTTTTGGAGAAAGACGTCTGGCGAGGGTGGTCACTGCGTCGATGAAAGGGAAGAACGGGTAGTCGGGGTGCCAGTAAGTGTCTTTTCTGAGTGTGGACAACAAAAGATAGCATAAGTTCTCATCATCGCCCCTGCAAACAACGTTGGGCACCCGAATCTCGATTCTCCCGTACTCGGACCCTTCCCGCATCTTCAGCACAACGGGTTTCCGTTTTACGAATGCCCTACGAACTGCGTTGTGAAGCAATTGCTCGTATGCAACGCCATGAAAGCCGGCACCAACAGATTTTGCACCTGCAAACCTTTAGCTGCTTGTCCGTGTCAGCCTCTCGCCCCAACTGGCTCAACACGTATCCCGAGTCGACAGATAAAAACCACGATCGACTTTCATAGTAATCCTCTTCTCGGTTGCAGTCATTGATGTAGTGACGCCCCACACGATCCACTTGGCTCTTGCTTTGACCCCCACCATAGTTGTACACCAACTCAAACGCTTGCCCATTATCCACGGAACCGCAATCGTACGCTACACACTCCACAAGTAGTCGTCGTGTTTTACAGAACTCGCGTAAACTCCCCCCACTCTACAAATACTGTTCCTTAACAAGTTTTGCAATCGGTGTGTCGTATCGCTCGATCGTGCGCAGATCAGTTTCGGTAGCCCGATTCGTTAACTTCGCGTACTGCAGCAGGTCAGTATCGCGCCAGGCCGGTAAAACCACAACGCGTGCGCTGTCGTCATGTTTCGCATCGTACTGGCACGATGTTGCAAGAAAATGAAAAGGCTCGAGTTCGTTGTCCATTTTCCCGTCTTTTTGATCGTAACCATCAACGAGAACAAATGCACCTTCAACTTGGCGCCGGATGGCGTTGATCTCATTCGGTGCGAGATTCGTTAGTCGTGCGTAACATCCCTGGCCATTAAAATACTCCACCGCGTTCTTAAGAAAACGTTTTTTCGAGCGACGTATGACAAGTACCCTCCTCTTCTTAATGCATGCCAGGTAAAAGGCGATCAGCATAAGAAAGCAGGATTTCTCGACACCCGGCGAGCCCACAATCACAATCCTTCTTTGTTCTATGGTCAACTTTAGCTTTTTA